TAGCTCCCCTGCATGCAGCTGAGGAGGGGTTAGCTCCCCTGCATGCAGCTGAGGAGGGGTTAGCTCCCCTGCATGCAGCTGAGGGGTTGGCTCCCCTGCATGCAGCTGAGGAGGGGTTAGCTCCCCTGCAGTCCCTTTGCTCCCAGGGAATCCCATGTGGAATGGGAAGCTCTTTATCCAGCGGGGGTTAATGTGGCCGCTTATGCCTTGCTGGTTCCACATCACAGTAAGCTGGGGCCTTCAGAGATAGCTGGTTCCTTCTCCCTCCTGCTCTGAAACAGTCAGACTCTCACCTAGTACTTCCTCTTGCTCTCATTTCCTCAAATCGTGGCCACAGAATCTGTTGACCCAGTTCCCTGCTGACAGCATTTAAGTTTTATCCCTTCATTTTAGTTCACATCAGTGTTTTTGCCAACTAAGAAAAGGGACATGACGTCAGCTTGTCTCATTGGAAATTAAACCAATGGTCATCTTACTGTCGGCAGTGAGAGTCTCTTTTGATGTGGTATTGAGTGAGTTTTCTGGGAAGACAGGGTATGATGATAGACCAAAATCAAAACCAAAAAACCACCAAATCCAAAGCTGGGCATAGTGGAGCACACCTTTAATCCCATCGCTCATGAAGCAGAAGCAGGTGGTGATGGTTATGATAAACAGTGTTGGTGGTAGTGCTGGTTACTGGCAGAAAAGTCACAGGCCATGGCCACAGCCACCGCCACGGCCACCAGAGTTACAAAGAGCTTTATTAGAAAGAAGTAGGGGATAGAAGGGAGGAGAACCAGGCCTGGAGAGAAAGAAAGATGGCGGGAGCAGAACGGGAACAGAGAGAGAGAGCACAGAGAGAGGGTGGGTGTCCGCATCTGGCTTTTTAAGGTGGGTATGTAGTCGCCAGTGCCCGTTGATGATGTAAGATGCAAGACCCTGAGCTGCGCATGTACAGGATCCTAACAGGTGGTTCTCTGTGAGTTTGAGGCCAGCCTGGTCTACATAGTGAGTTCCTGGATAGACATGGCTACATAACAGAAAGACCCTATCTCAAAAACCAAAAAAGAAAAGAAAATGAGTCCACCCAAGCCTAATGGGTGTGTTGTGAACCTGGGTGACTCAAAAGGCCGGTCTCAGCATGAGTAATGACTCGGGAAAGCTGCACCCCAGGAGTTCTCCTCACAGCTTGATGGCAGCTCTGCTGGATAGTACTCACTTCCCAGCAATTACTGCTTTCACAACTCTGGGAAAGGCCTTGCCCATCAAGTAACCTGAGTGGGTTTCCTAAGACCATGGTTTTTCCCAGCATCCTGGGCCCCAGGAACCTCTTTCTCCCTCCAGCAAGGGGCGTTCCAGCTTGGAGGAAGTAGACACAACACCTGGTATCTGACTTGGTACCAAACCAAAGTTGATCCTCTTCACAGCACAAACTTCATTCTCAGACACTACGGTTCTGGTTCCTTATATTCACCCCCTGCACCTAAACCACTAGAGGTGCACAGCCCACCCCAAGATCCACAGGGCAATAGCTCAGCCCATCAGAAGAAATCCACGTCCAGAGCACAGCCCCTAAACATCCAGGGAGCACAGCACTGAAATCGTGATCATAGCAGTAACTTACTAAGTATTACTCCCCTAGAGAAGTCTGTGTGCAAGCTCTGTCAGACTTAGTCTTGATCCTAGCACTTGGGTAGTGTTGGGTTTTTCACTCGTTTGGGGGGCCAGCCACCCAGCTCCCGAATAAATCACACACAGAGGCTTATTCTTACTTATGAATGCCCGGCCTTAGCTTGGCTTACTTTCTAGCCAGCTGTTCTTACCTTAAATTATCCCATCTACCTGTAGCCTCTGGACTTTTCCCATCCTCTAACTTCTATAAATCTTACTCTTACTCTGTGGCTTGCTGTGTAGCTGGGTGGCTGACCTCTGGAGACCCCCTCCTTTTCCGGCTCCTAGATCTTAGATCTCTCCTCCCAGTTTTCTCCTTCTATATTTACTCTCTGCCTGCCAGCCCCGCCTATCCTTTCCCTTGCCTTGCTATTGGCCAGTTCTTTATTAAACCATCAGGTTTTTCAGACAGGCACAGCAACACAGCGTCACAGAGTTAAACAAATGCAGCATAAACAAAAGTAACACCCCTTAAAATAATATTCTACTACACTTGGGAAGCAAAAGCAAATGGATCTCTGTGAGTTTGAGGCCAGGCCAGTAGTTCCAGGCTAGTGAGGGATACACAGTGAGACCCTGTCTAAACAAAAAACCCATACTAGAAACTAGTTACCAAAACAAGCTCACACTCAGGAGATGGGTTCCATGGGAGAATGGAGCCATGTTTTAAAACCACAACCATAGAACATCATTATAACTCAAGAGAAGTCATCCTAATTCAGCCAGCTAAATTTGGTCACTATTGTTGTTGAATGTGCTCCTGTATTTTGTGGAATGAGTCAAAAGTTTACAAGTCAATGCTCTTGAATCAGAACATTTTTGTTTTAAAAACAAACAAACAAATAAAAATCATGTTACTAGCCAGGTGGTAGTGGTGCATGCATTTAATTCCAGCACTCAAGAGGCAGAGGCAGGCAGATTTCTGAGTTCAGGGACAGCTAGGCTACAGAGTGAGTTCCAGGACAGCCGGGGCTACACAGAGAAACCCTGTCTCAAAACACACACACACACACACACACACACACACACACAC